ACCTGGTTATATTCACTTCTCCAAATAAAAACTGGCCAAGGGAACACAACAAGTACCAGGCCACCAGTATCGGGTCTCTTAAATTAAAAATCTTGAACCCCATCTCAGCCATTCCCTACTATACCTACTCACTATGTTTCTATAAATTTAAAATGAGACAAAGATAATATATAGATAATCTTTAAATTTCTAAGGTTGTAGCTTAGTCAACTAGTCTAAGGATGTCTAGTCAAGGTTTATTTAAGGATGTTGCCCAAGCTCTATCTACATAATACATGGTAATTAAAATTACCAGACTGGTGTAACTAACCTTGTTGGATGTTTAATAGCCAGACTCTAAGGCCTATATTAATCTGGTCAGAGTAGCTTAAATGGACAAATTTTTGTTTCTTGCCCTCCAAGGTCAAACAAGTTCCAGGGGCTATGGAGCATGTCTTGAAATGTCCTGTAACTTTGGTGAGTCACCGGTCCTCTTGTTCAGGGAGGCCATGGAGACCCCAGAAGATGGACTTGAACCAGTGTCCAGTCTGCAAAGAGGAGGGTCAACACAAAGGAAACATTTCCTCCATGCTTCCAAGCGAATCCCTGGTCAAGCAGGTCCTCTTGACTTATCTTCATGTAGATGGAACTGGTAAAAGAAAACCCTGAGGTGCTAGGGGCTCCCCTCAAGCCCATGTGACCCCTGAGGTCCAAATCCTCATGTGACCTTAAGAGTAAAAATAAATTGGTTCATTTGGGCCAACAGTATGGTCTTAAACACCCAAAAGGAAAGTACAATCAAAAATTAAAATCATCAGTATATTTTAAGGGTTCAAGGGATTACACAACCCAGACATTAGACTTAAGTTCTTATGTTATTTAGACAATTATCTCTCATTGATGATTTTGGTCCTAATAAGACAACGCTACTCAGATGTAAGACTTCAAATCTTGGTCTACAGTACTGTAGTGCCCACATACAGCTAATGGAGGCAACCCACTATTGTTCTAGCCTTAAAAATTAGATGGCTAAATTTGTTTTCTCTCCCTATCTAGAAGCCTTTTAGAGGTAACTGACACTGATTCTAGCCGCTCCAACAGCTATCAAAATGCCTGAAAACAAATCCTGAGTCCATCACTCTCGAGGTCAGCCCTGAAAGAGAAAAAAAAAAAAAAAGAAGAAGAGCTATTGCCTTGGTGCTAACCATTGCTCCTTGCCTCTTCAGATATTTTCAGGACCAAAATCCAAAAACTCTTACTCTCATACTAATTTTAATCAGTTGTTACTTTCCTTCCCTCCACATGTATGTGAACACTGTCAACCATTGAGGATCCTGTTGAGATGCATGAAGAGGGAACCCCCGCTGTCTGATCAACCCCTAATCCAGCCCTGCCCAAAGTTGACCCTGTCCAGCAGAAAGTAGCAAGATGACAGCGGTACTCCTATCCTATAACACAAAAGGTTGGAATGTTAAGGTTCAGATAGCCCCACCCCCTCACCAACAGGGCCTCAAAGACCTCGCAAGCCCCTGAGAAAAGGGAACCAAGTTGAAAAGCACCCTGGTCTTTGAATTCAAGAGAAGCAGACTTTTCTCCACTGTTTGGCCAACACAGCAGGCTTCCCCTTTGATCTCTAAAGAGGGAAGGTTTTAACAGTCCTGCTCTCCCGCCTTCTGCGGGAAGCAGAAGCCTCCACCTATAAAAAGACCCCAGCTAACGACCCGGGGCAGACATTTTCCCTGTCCGGAAGGGAATCTGTCCCATGTGTTCTTTTGCTAATAAACTCTATTCTGATGGAGTTTTATCTGTGTCCTGGTGCTTTCTCCCGATCAACTGGATTCATCCATAAGTTACTTTATCTATCAGAAAGGAAGCCAGGAAGCTAGCCAGGCACCCACCAACCCACCCACCCTAGTATGTACATGCAAATAAATATCTGCTCAACAAACTGCAGAGCAGCTACATATCAGTGCAAGCTGGTGTCACCAACACCACCTGGGTCTTAAACAGTATCTGGCAAGATTTTGTGTTTCTAGTCATTCAGACTTTTCTATATATCTCCTCCCCCCCATCTCCATCCCCCACCCCATCTCTTTTTCTCATTCTATCATACTCTCCCTCTCCTTCTGTCTCCCTCTCAGTCTATATAAAAATGCTCCCGGTGTTTTGTTTTAAGGCTATTCTTGACTTCTAATAATTCACTACCACCATCACTACCCTTGGTGTCCTCATCAGATGTCTTCATGTCCTACTTTATAGAAAGAGCAAAAGCCATAAGAACTGAATTTCTTACCGTCAGACCTACAAATGTCCCTGCACTACTTCTCACACCCAAAGGAAGAGATGATCTCCTTTTTCTCTAACTTCCCCATACTTCTGCAATTATATGTTCCTTCTCTCTGACCTCCAGCTCAAATTAACCCCCTCCTTATATCTACAACATCTGCTTCTCTATTACCTCATCTGTGTAAGTACCAAAAATACTAAGGTCTCTTGCGTATAAAATTAAAAACTCACCTCCCAAATCAACTTTTCCAGGTATCTCACTTTAGTCGCCATTACAGCTAAACCTTTTGAATAAGCTGACTACATCCACCATTCCCCACTTCTTAAATTCTCAGTCACATCTCAAGCTGGAAAATCATCTTGTTGATTCATTTGCCTAAGTCATTAACAGCCTTTCCACTAAATCCGGAAAGAACATATTCATTCCTGTTTCTCTAACTTTCCAGAACAGTAAGCTTTCTTCTTAAAACTCTCCCTTATTTTTGTTTCTTTATTGCAACCTTTTCCTGATTTTCCTCCTGTTTCTTTAGCTGGGCTTTGTCTTCAGAGCCTCTCTTCTTGCTCCTTGTCCTTTTAACTATGTTGGTATTCTGTATAAGGTACACTTCATCTTCACACAGGCAATATAATGTACTCATTCACTCATCTTTCTCTTTGAACACCAGACCCATGTATCAACTGCCTGTTCAGCATGCCCACCTGGAAACAAGACTCCTCAGCATGCCTAAAACATTTCACCTGTCACCATGTTCTGCCAGTGCCTCATATGCCACATCCTTCCACTTTACTTGCTCCTTGTTGACTGCACATTGGTTCAACCTACTATTCTCTATCTTTCATTGCAATATATTTCTAAATGCCCCTCTGCTTCTGGACTTAGTCTAGCTCCATTGATCATCTATTTTATGAAGCTAGAGTGATAGCACTAAGATGTCCATTGACAGGATTACTCTCCTATTTAAAACTTATCTGTTTGGTATTGACTTATAACTAGATTCAAGCTCCTCTGTTTGCTTCAACCTTTATCACACTATCACCTCAATTTCCAACACACTGGAATATTTTTCATTCTTCTACACATCATCCTCTCTCTTCCCTTTACCTCTAGGTCCTTGCAGATGGAATGATTTATTAGAACATGCCCTTCTCTATTTCTCCATGTTTCTTTGGCCATCTCTTTATATATGTTTTAAATACCAGTTCCTACAGGACAAAAGAAAGTTGGTATATACCTGATGAGTATTTTGTATATGTTCCAAAAAACATTCTTTTTTTGTTGCTTATTGAGCTATTTATTTTTCCCAGTATACTGTCAAAAGCAAGAAGGTAGTAATATATATGGTTTATTTACTGATGTGTCCATAGAATCTAGCATAGCACCTGACAGATTCAAGTCATTTATTATTTGCTGACAATATTCAACAAATACTTTTCACTAGATTCACTCAAAGACTCATAAGTAACTAAAACTAAAAACAAAATAAAGAAAGAAAAACCATACCTCTGGGATTAGAGAGATGGCTTAGTGGTTAAAAGCACTGGCTGCTATTGCAAAAGACCCAGGGTTTGGTTTACAGTACTTACATGGCAGCTAACAATCATCTGTACCTTCGGTTCTAGGGGATCTGACACCCTCTTCTGACCTCCATGGGCATTGCACAACACAGATGCAGGCAATATACTCACATACATAAAATGAAAATAATAAATTTTAAAAAATCACTTCTACCATGAGACAAAAATACAAGGAAATAAAAAGGTATGAAAATCATATCAAAGTGACTGAATTTTAAAAAAAAATCTATTTGAACAGTTCAGTACTTGTATCAGGAAACTGTTCCTTATAAAAATGCTTTTCCATTGCAAGAAAATTATGATAAATTTATTTCAGTACCATCATTCAAGAATATTCCCTTCTTATTCTTGGAATCTTTTCAAGGTCTGATTGGCCTATTACAGAATGTGCTAATCAAATTCCTATTTCCCACTCCCAATGCTCCCACATTAGCATATCAACAGGTAGAATTACCTAAAATGTAGTCTTGCATTATGACACCTTTCAGCCCACTTTACACAATCTTATAGCTAGTCAGTAAACAAAGAGCCAAGAAAAAGTGCTGTGCTCACCTGCCACTGCAAGACAAGAAAGGACATCAGCTATGGAATAAGTGTACCTTCTCCAGATTTAGACCATGAAGGCCCAACTTCCAGTGTGATGATATTTTGAGATGAAATCTCCAGAAAATAATTACATTTAGCTGACATCATGAGAGTAGGTCCCTCATGTTGAAATTAGTTTTCTTGTAAGAATAAACACAGCTTGCCCTTCCCTCTCTCCCATCACCATGGGAGGATGTGCTGTCTGCAAGCCAGCAAGATAGCCTTCATCAGAAACCAACTATTCTGCACTTTGATCTTGAATTTCTATCCTCCAAAACCAAGAGAAAATAAGTTTCACTGTTTAAGCCAACCAGCCTATGCTATTTTCTTATGGTAGTAAATAAACACAATAAGCATACTTGGAGATTCGTCGTAAGAACCTCAATTCCATCTTGACTCAATAGTAATATCATTAATAAATAGCAGTAATGCTGATCTTGAGTTTTTGGTTTTTCACAATACTATATTTTAGTTGACAATTTTAGAAAATGAAAAACAAAATAGAAGTATGAAACCATGAAAGCCCTATTTGAATGCAATATTAATCTAGTGAAAATGAAATAAAAGATACTTACCACCACCAAGAATGTAAGAATCCTGGTGGTTCCCCCAATGTGATGTTTTTTTCCCATCTTATCTAAAACAAATAAAAAATATATTAAATACTTTCCTTCTAATTTTCACACACACATTTCAAAGCAGTGTTTTCCCATTTAAAATGCTATAATTTTTAAGTTTTTCACCACTTTCATGTCATTCTACATTCAAGTTTCTAAGTACTCACCTCACATAGTGATTAATAGGCTGAATTAGTATATGAGAAAGATGCCACCATAATTTTCTTGAATTTGCTTCCCACTGCTCCACTGACTGAGCACTTGTGTCTTGAAGCTTCAAGGCCAACTTTCCACACTCTTTAAGAAGCTGACACTGAGTCAGAAAGATGACTCAGCCAGTAAAGGTATATGCCTCACAAACCTCATGATAGAGTTTGATTCCCAGAACCCACATAAAGGTGGAGAGAACTGATTCCAGAGAGGTCCTCTGGCCTCCACACACAAGCCCCCACATACGATACATACACATACAATGTACACAACACAATGCACACACACAACAATAATAAATTTTAAAGAATAAGCTGACACTGGGAATCTATTTAGTGCCTTAAATTCTTCATTAAATGACTTCCCATTAAATTCTCATAATATAAGACTTAAGGGAGACCAAATGTAGGAATAAGGGAAAGACTGTGCTTCCTGCTCCTTCCTATCCCTGCAGGGTTCTCCCAGCAGCACCAATTCATTCCAGTAAAGACAACAGCTGTTTCCACTCCACCTGGTTCTATCACAAGCAGGACAAGTTTCTTCATGACCCCTAAAAGGCACCAACATAGTTGGGCAACACCTTTGCTCAAAGCGCTGAAGCCCAGTTTCACAAGGCTCCCCTGAGCTCCTAAGGTACCTATATCTAGCCAGCTCTCTCTTGCTCCTTAAAAGGTCTAAGACTCAGCTATGTGAAGTTCTTCATCTAATTTTTTGTAATCACAACTTCTTTCGTTTGATCCTCCAGCCTTGTGATTGCTTGTAACAATGGTTGATTTTATGTAAATCTGTAGTTTCTAGGTTCCTGTTTTTTTCTTTTTTAAAGTAATCAGTTTGTTTATATTACTTTCTTTCTGCTGAAATATTCAATGTTCTTTCAATTAGCATGCCTGGATCCTGATTGGCATACCACCACTCCAGAGGCCCGCATGAAGGAAGAATATTCAAAGTGTATCCTTTTAAGCAAAACAAGGTATGGGCATAAACTTTAGCATTCATCTGTTCTAGCTATGTGAACCAAGGAAAGTTAGAATCTTCTATACCTCCATTATCTCATCTACAAAAATGGGCTAATAGTCACTGACCTTAACAGGGTGTTGTCAGGAATGTAGTAATGCAGCAATGTAGTAATCCTGATAACTGTTTACTGCTGAGTACTTTGCCTTCACCCAGAATAACATCCTTAAAAAGTTACTCCGGCATCAAAGTCACCAGCAACAAAAATCCAATGTTGTTTCATACAATCAAGTATTTATATTTATGCTAAATAAAATTTAGTTTACTAATCAGAACAGTGTATAATACCTTGAGATATATATAGATAGATAGATATAGATATAGATATAGATATAGATATAGATATAGATATAGATATAGATATAGATATAGATATAGATATAGATATAGATATAGATATAGATATAGATATAGATATAGATATAGATATAGATATAGATATAGATATAGATATAGATATAGATATAGATATAGATATAGATATAGATATAGATATATATTCACATAAATACCCAGGAAAAAGAATAACCAGAGATGTAACTAAATAGGAATTTGCCTATGCTTCTGCTAGCAATGGGAGGGTGTTACTTTCATTTGTATTGGAAAGATTCAAGATTCTCCTACTAGCTGTTTTGGAATATCCAATTAATTACTGTCAACCATAGTTATCCTACTGTGCTTTGAAACACTACAAGTTACGTCTCCTATGCAACTGCACCTGTATCTATTAACTACCCTCTCACCGACACCCCACTCAGGATCTGATAACCACTATTTTACTTACTCCTTTTAGTAGATCCAACATTTTATCACAGCTTCACATGTGACAACATGAGGCATTTGCCTTTCACAGCCTGACTTTTACACTTAACATAATGTCCCCTGGAAGAATGTACTTTTGAGGGTCTATATTCTTCTCTGTGAATCACATGGCATTTCAGAATCTTAAGACACATCAAAATCATCATTATTAAAGTCAATATAAATATCAGTTACCACCACTGGCTCAGAAATTTGCAAGAGATTATGCCTAATAATGTAAACTAAATTTTACCTTAAGGACTGAGTTTCATAACAAATTCCTGATTTAAGGGAAAAGGAATGAAGAAGAATTTTTTGAAGAAGAGGAATTTTTAAAGGGCTAGAAAAGATGGTGATATTAATTTTCTAGTTACTTACATTTCATATCACTTGCACTCTATAACAGAAATTTAAAACATAGTATCTCTCACAAGTTAAAAATTCAGAGTAAGTAGGACCAGATGTGGTGGTACATGCCTTTAATCCAGGCATGGGAGGCAGAGGCAGGTGGATCTCTGTGAGAGCCAGGCCAGTCTGGTTTATATAGCACATTCTAGGCCAGCTTGGGCTATAGGGAGACCTTGTCTCAAAAAAAAAAATCACAATAAAAACATTTTACAAAGAAAATTTAGAAATTGAATATCTGCAAAGGTTTGCATCTATGACATCTTATCTAATCAATGGATAACAGTGAACATAAAAGATCCAAGTTCCTTCTTCAGGAAGGAACACTTTGTTACACTATCTTACACTTTGTTGGAAGATAGATGATAAAGAAATGGAAGAGACTCAAATTGTATTTCTATCAGAAGGTGACAAGTGCTGTGGATGGAAACAAACCAGTGAATGAGCAAAGGGTATGACTATAGTAAAGATAGTTATAGTTTCAAATAATGTGATCTAGAAAGGCTGCAAAAGAAATTATGTATAAATATATGCCTTACATTTTTGCTTTAAATATAAATCTTTTAACAGTTCCCCTAATAGTAAAAATAGGTTTATAGGTACTTGATATTATGAAAACATAAACAACTAATAATTATAAAATTCAGAATGTGTCAGGAATTCTTTCCAACACATGATTTCTTATTCCTAACGGACATTATAAAAAAGCTTTAAAACAAAAACTCCAAAGTGACTTTTCCCTGAAGAAAGGGAGACAGAAGGCAGAAGAATCAGTGCTTCAGATTGCTGACCAGTTCACCTAGCCACCAGTGAGCCCCAGGTTCAGTGAGAGATCCAGTCTCAAAGAATAAAGTAGAGAGCAATTAAAGAAAACACCTCTTATTGCCAGAGCCCTTGGTTATCTTCCATAACTAGAAGATAAGACCCTACTGCTGAAGACAGGACATACTTTAGGCACAGGACTTGGAGGAATGGAGCAGGAACTGACCTGGAAGTCTCTACCTGAAGTTTAGCCCTCATAATGCTAGATGATAATATGCAAACTGTAAAGAGAGAAAAATCAATCAATGGTCCAACCCAGCCCTAAAGCCTAATAACTATAACCACTGGCACAGCAAGCTACCTCTACTAGCGCAGGAGTGGCACTGTCCTCTGGGGGGTAATTAGTAGCTATCTAATTGGATTTAAAGCCCTCTCAGTGGTAGTAAACTTGTAGGTGCCAATGTAAACACAGCCAAATACATATGGCTGGAGAGGTCATAGATCCTAGAGAAAACTCTTACCTGTCATATCTCTAGACAAATGAAATTTCTTACCATATGCTAAATATGAATCCTTATATTTACAAACAAGCATACCTACACTGCTCATCAAAGAAGCTTCTTTTTGCAGCACATGGAGTTTACTGGAGAATCCTACCTGGTCAGACAGAGAGAATATATATCTGAGAGATGCCTAGTCCTAGGTGACACACCTACAGTTGAACCTTTACACCTAAGGCTCATGGAACATAGCAGAACAAGGGGTAGAGAGAAAACTAGTGCATCCCTCAACTCTTACCAGTGAAGCTTCCTTATACAACAGAGTGTGATACATACAGGCCACAACCGGTCAAGTTTTAAAGAATAGGAGAGTAGGGGCTGGAGAGATGGCTCAGTGGTTAAGAACACTGGTTGTTCTTGCAGAAGACCGGGTTTGAAACCCAGCACCCACATGGCAGCTAAAGACTGTCTGTAACTCCAGTTACAGGGAATCTGACAGCCTCTTCTGTCCTCCACAGGCATTGTACAACACGGGTGCACCTACATACATACAGGTAATACATGCATACACATAAAATAAAGATAACAAAATAATAAAAAAAAAATAGGAGACTGAAGAGTGTGTGTCCCTGCATAGGACTCCTATATTACTCACCCACCTACAGCTCAGGAACTATTGCGGAAGAGGAGGCAGGTAGATTGTAAGAGCCAGGGCTGGTCATGAACATAGGGAAGCAGAGGCTTTCAGGCAACTTGAAACTTGCACCTGTAAACTTGCAGTAATGGTGGCATCAAGCACAGGACCCATGCCTAGTCAATCAGACAAGGGGCCAGAGTGGAGCAAGAGAAATGAGTGGCAGGGCCAGGCCTAGAATGGGAACTATTGGGGATTGATTACTACTGGGTGAGGGAGAGTATGTCTTACTTACAATCTCTAGATAGGCTGACAAGATTCCAACGGATGAATTTGCACCTATGGACATCTGAATACAAATGCTTGACTGAATAGGGCTTAACATGTATGCTGGAATATGTGAGGTTTGGTGGGGGGGGCATGGATGCGAGAGGGGGTCTAAATTTGATTAAGAACTACAATATAAAATGTACAAAAGCTCAATAAAAAGTTTTTTAAGAAGAATCACCTGTAGCAGTCAAGGATATTGTTTTCTCATTAATGCTTTTAAAACATAAAAAGTAAAAGTGACCAAAAAATCAATTAAAACACACACACATGTGCACACACAAATATATGCTGCACACAAACGTACACACAAATGTGGCTCTAAGTGGGAGGAGAGGGTTAAGAAAAGATGGAAAAGCTTAAGTAC